TCAATCAATGATATATTCTCCATCGTTTTCTATAATCTTTTCCCAACGTTTTGGCAGCATACGGATGCTTCGATCATAAAAACTGCGCGGTTTAGATTCGAAGAACGAAGAGACGCCGTTTTTTAAGGCCTCCAAAGAGTCAAAGTTTTTTCCATTTAAATAATTTTGCAATGACCGGAACAAATGATAGTCAGATGGTGCGATATCAGGAGAATATGATGGATGCGTTAAGACATCCCATTTCAGGCTCTTCAGTTTGCGCAGCGTCTTTTTCGAAACGTGTGGTCTGGCGTTGTCGTGATGAAAGACGACTCCCTTGCGATTTGACAAAATCGGACGTTTCTCTTTTATTTCTCGATTCAGATTGGTTAATTGGCGACAGTACTTGTCCGAATCAATCGTTTCGCCAGCGGGGAGAAGCTCGAAATAGATTATGCCCTTGCAATCCCACCAAACAGAGAGCATCACCTTCATCGAGTGCAAACTAGCCTTTGGCATTGCGTCACCATGCTCACCTGATTGTTTCCATGTCCGTTTGCGCTGAACATTGTTGTAGAGGAGGCTTCATTTCTCATCGCCCGTCACTAGTCGATCCAAAAATGACTCGTTATTGAGCCGCCCGAGTAAAGAAACGGCTGCAGAAATTCGCTTGATTTTGTTCTTCTCGGTCAGCAAATGGGGCACCCATATATCGAGCTTCAAATCGAATCCCATCTTTTTTAAACGCCGAAAAGTGGTTGATCGGTCAACGTTTAGTGCTGTAGCAACTTCTTCTGTTGAAATTCGCGGATTATTGAGCACTAAAGTACGCAAAACATCGTCATCAATGTCAGAAGGTCGACCAGAGCGTGGCTCGTCTTCAAGGTTAAATTCTCCGCGCCGAAATTTAGCAAACCATTTTTCCACAGTTCGTTTAGCTGGTGCTTCATCCTGATAAACATCCTGAATGTTTTTTACGGCTGCGGCAACGTTTATTCCCTTCCGAAACTCGTAAAGCATAACATGCCGTAAATGCACCTTATCGATACTCATTTTTAAAGTGATATTTCTCGAAGCAGTTTGTATGAAAACAAATGATTTTTTTTTTAATAACAGCTGAAGACGTCACCTTTCCAACGTTATATAATATGTAGATGGAAGTATTAATGACAACACTTTACGACGCTTATAACTCCATCTATTGAAACTCCGCACGAACTTTTGCACTCACCCAATACATGTATAAATATAAAAATATATTTAAGTTAATTTTTTCATTATTAATATATAACTGTTTTAGGAGTTATTAAGAAATTAAATTTTATTTTTTACTGTATCTTTTGTAAGTTTAAAAAATTATAATAATATATGACAGGTGTATGAAATAAATACTAATTGTAGCAGAATGTTTATTTCTTTTATGTTCGTTTATTATATAATAAAAAATAACATTCCAGTAAGCAAAATGCTAACAGAATGCGCGCAGATTGACGCCAATTTCGATCAGATCTCCAGATCAAAACCATAGCCATCTGTGTCCTCATTAGGCTCGTGTTTTGTCGACAGGACCTGTATGACAGGCCGTGCGAGCAGATTGTCGGCAGAAACCGCGCAGGTCCTGCTGCCAAACTACACGTAGAGTCTGCGCGTATAGTTTGCTCAGTTTCTGCCGCCAATCTACCGTCAAATTACTGCAAGTCTTGCGCGGTTTTTGCTACAAATCTGCCGTCAAATATCTGACAACAGGATCTGGCGCATATTTGATCGCAGATTGGCGGCATACTTTGATATAACAGATTCTGCGTTAAATTTGTTGCCTATTTGATACCAAACTATGATAGCAGGCTTTGTTCGAAATCTGCTCGCGCAGGTTTGGCTATCTGGGATCTATCAATATATCAATAGGTAATATACCAATGGTATAACAATATATTTAATAGACTTTAAATAATAATAACTTATATAATATATAATAAATATTATATATTATATAATATATAATAAATATTATATATTATATAATATATAATAAATAAATTATATAATAAAACCCTCATTTGTAAAATAACGACAAAATTCGTCTCTGATATTTGCTACTGACCGCGAATATGTATTGCTTCCCATACGATTGACACTTCTTATGGCACCCTCATTTTCAATAATTTCACACATATTACTCGATATATTTGTCATATGTCTTTGTTATGTGTCATTGGTAGCAAAAAGTTATGCAGACAAACAGTTGCTGTAACAATGCTTCAAGTAACGCAATTATTGGTTTTCTGTAAATTCTCCATTTACTACTCATAATATCAAACGCGTTTTCTACAACACGTCGTGCTCAGATTAGTCTATAGTTAAACTTTCTTTTTTTTATATCTAATTGATTTGCCGGATATGGTCTTAAGGTCATTCTACAATACGTGTCGTAAATTGTAAGCCGTAAGAATTGACGAATCATAGTCGATTATTACTAAAATAATCGGCTATAATTGGTCAGTTCTTACGGCTTACAACTTACGACACGTATTGTAGAATGACCTTAAATGTATATTCATTGAGTTGGAATGCAGCATCTCCCACAAGCATGTATGGAACAGATCTACCAGATCTGTAAATATGAAGCCGGAATTTGCCCATAGATGGCCCCAGCTGTCAATGTAGTTACCGTCAAACCGCGTCATTGGCGCCAATTCCATTTGTTGACATCTGACAAAGATTTTCAACTCACAACAATACAAGTTTCATACAACAGTATAGTTTGTAATAGCGTTGAACATGTCGAATTTTGTGCCTGGAAGCTACGATTTGCGGACAGCATCGATTTTCTGTCATTTGAAGAAAGCTGCTGCAAAATCGCATCGAATGCTTGTCGAAGCTTACGGCGAGCTCTTGGTAAATCACAGTGCTTTGAGTGGTTTAAAAAATTCAAACGTGGCGATTTTGACGTGAGAAACGAAGAACGTGGAAGACCATCGAAAAAGTTTGAAGACAGCGAATTGCAAGCATTGTTGGATGAGGATGACACTCAAACGCAACAACAACTCGCGGATCAATTAAATGTGACACGAGAAGCCGTCTCCATACGTTTGAAAACCATGGGAAAGATCCAGAGTATGGGAAAATGGGTTCCACATGAACTGAATGAAAGACAGCAGGAAAACCGAAAAACCATTTGCGAAATGCTGCTCGCCACCCTAACAGCACAGATGTCCAGAGGACGTCCAGAGTACGTCTTAAAGACGTCCTGGGGACGTTTTTTCATCCTCAGGACGTCCATAGGACGTCCCCAGGAGATCATGTGCTGTCTGGGCAGGTACAAAAGAAAGTCATTTCTCCATCGAATTGTGACTGGCGATGAAAAGTGGATATATTTTGAGAATCCTAAGCGTAAAAAATCATGGATAACTCGAAGCGAATCATCGACATCGACTGCAAGGCCAAATCGCTATGGACGGAGGACAATGCTCTGTGTTTGGTGAGATCAGAAGGGTGTGATTATGAGTTGCTAAAATCTGGCGAAACCGCTCATACTGAATGCTACCGACAACAAATAATCGATTTGAATCAAGCGTGAAAAACGACCAGAATATAAAAAAGGCAACACAAAGTGATTTTGCTTCATGATAATGCACGATCACACACAGTAAAACTGGTCAAGGAAATGATTGAGGTGTTTAAGTAGGAAATACTTTCGCATGCGGCTTACTCACCAGACTTGGCTTCGTCCGATTACTACTTATTTGCATCGATGGGACCCGCACTTGCTGAGCAGCGCTTCACTTCTTACGAAAATGTACGAAAATGGCTCGATGATTGGTTTGCCTCAAAAGAGCAACAGTTTTTTTGGCGTGGTATCCACAAATTGTCAGACAGGTGGAAAAAATGTATAGCTAGCGATGGGAAATACTTCGAATAAAATATTTTTTATCATTTTCATACAATAAATGTATATTTTCTATACAAAAATTCCGGTTTCATATTTACATACCTGGTATTACTAGAATTTGATAATGGACTTGACGGTAGTAAATCCATTTCTTTATTTTTAAATCGTTGGCCCATAATAGATCCTTTAAAGATCTCACTATCATTATGTCGACCTTGTGCACCAATATCTACCATTAGAAATTCATATGTTGCTGAAACTATTGCTATAAGCACAATGCTATGTTGTCCCTTATAATTATAAAATGTTGATCCTGCATGTCCTGGAGCCTGTGAATATATTCATTAATGTTTTGTTCTTTTACATTATGCTGTCTTTGCATCGTTATAATTTGATATATGAGTAAAATATAAGAACATTTAATAAATTTATTTACTTGTATCACAACATGTTTTCCATCAATAACTCCAATACAATGTGAGAAGTTCCACCGTCTAAAGAAATCATCTGCTATTCTTTTCCAATTATGTATTGATGGTTGGAATAAAATACAATCTTTTACCCAGACAGCACACGATATTTTTAAAATATTTTAAAAATATTTATAAGAAAGATTAGAATATTTTGAAAATATTTATGGTAAATATTTTGTACATATGTTTATGGCCGAGAAACCCAAGTACGAAAGATTATAAGAAATACGTGAAAAATAAAGTCTATATAAATATCATAAAAAATAATAAAGATATTTGAACGTATTGTAAAAATATTGTAAATAATGTGTATATATATATATATATCATTTTACCAGAAATATGAAATATTTTAATCTGTATGGAAAAATATAAGATAAAAAATAAAATAATTTTTATTGCGTTTTATTTGCTTATTATAATTATTACATATAATCTCTTATATTATAATTATCACTATAATTATACATAAATATACTGATAATCACATTGTACATCACAGTTGTATCGTATTCTGCATATTGCACGTATTATACTGCACGTATTATACTAATATAAAATTAAAAGGCAGTCTTTGTTATATTAATGTGCATAACAGTACACACACATGTGCAGTATACTATACTATATATTCTATGAAAATCAAAATAAAAATTATCTTTTTTAAATATCTTCTTTTGTGTTACTGCATAGAAAAATAAAAACAAAACATGAATAATATTAAATACTATTTTCATCATCAGTGTTATCAACATCTTGGAGCAACAATGTGTCGGAGTGATGTTTCCTGTAAAAAAATTTAACTATTATTATTTTCTGTTAGACAACAATAAGAAAACCATATATACAATGTCTACAAGGTGTCCTTTGAAAGCTTGTGCTGCCTGAATCTATATTATTATAGCAAATTTCTTTGATAAAAAAAGTACCACAAAAAAGTAGGATATTTTATTGATTTCAATTATTAAAATAGTAATCTATTTTGTTAAAAATACTGTTATAGAACACATGAAACTATAACAGATGACAATAATGTATTTAACATGTGGCTCTAGATACTTACTTTTTTCATTTTTTAAGCGGGATGATGAATTATGTAGCCAACTTGATATTGCTTGTTTAATATTAGCTTCAGTCGCCATATATATGTGGGATTGGATGGCTTCTGCAGACATAATAAATGCATAGTAAATAAATAATAAATTAGAGAAAAGATATTTAACATAATAATATACAAAAAAAGTATTTTCAAGGAATACGTATATATATTTTTTACAAATCTCAAGATTTATAAAAGTATGTATATACAACATCACAGTTGAAAATTATGGTCATATACATACTGAGGTTAAGATTGGCTATTATGCTAATGAGTCTACTGTATAATTCTTAACGATGATAATTGTTATCGATATTGTTGTTGTGTAGGTATAATATATAATAGGAATATAATATATAATAAAAAGTAAGAAACTGCATAACGATAACATAATGATAATAATGTCGTTAAGAATTACAAAATACAGACATAACCTGCTAACTACTTTTACAATTCTTTAGTGAAAAGTTTTCAAGATTTATAACACATTTAATAAATTGTACCTGGCAAAGAGAGGGAGAGTACTTTTTCCAATCTGCTTTTTTTAGACTCTTGCCCTGGACTACCTGGAGTCTATCCGGACACTGTATCACAACTGTATATCGACTGCATTGGGTGCATTCGATATTATAACCGCTCACTGAGCGCTCAGTGAGCTCTTGCGTCTGATTGGTATATTCCTTTAGATTTAAAATTATACACCAATGGTTGCGTTCAGCGGAAAAAACTGCTCCGCTACCGTTCCGTAGCAAACGTCTCTGATTGGTCGGTTTGGACGTCTGTTCGGACGGTGCATTCAGTACTACCACCGCTCACTGAGCTCTTGCATCTCAATGGTCACGTTCAGCGGAGAAAACTGCTCCACTAGCACTCAGTAGCAAATGTTCATGATTAGAGAATTCATTTAAATCTTTGGCAGGTTTGAACAGACGTACCAATTAGAAACGTTTGCTACGGAACAGTAGCGGAGCAGTTTTTTCCGCTGAACGTGACTACTGGCTGCATTCGAGGATATGCTATTATTTATTACAATATTTATGATAAATATGTATACTATATTATTACAAAATATGCATATATATTTTAGTTTCTATATTAATAATATTTTTTAATACATTTTAAAAATATTTTTTATATCTTGTTAGTAAAGATTTTGGTATTAATTATAAATCTTTATGAAAAATGTGTATCACATTTTTTTTCAGTATTTTCCAAACATACATTTCCAAAATCTTTATGAATATTTATGATAAATATTTTGTGCTGTCTGGATAGTACATTCCAAATAGCTTCACATGTATTTTTTATTATGCCAAATATAATATTTTTACCAAGACGAAATGACATAGCAAGAGATGACATTGAATCTCCAGATGCTAAATAGTTGTACAAATATGCTTATATATATATATATATATATATATATATATATATATAATAAGAGTATATTAAATAAAATTAGGTAAGAGTAATTAGGCAAAAGGGTATATTAAATAAAATTAGTTTATACCGTAATGTTATTAACAAGCAAATATTTGGTGAAATTGGTTGCCTAAAATGTTTCTTGCTTTTGTATTATAGGTTTAACTAAGTTAAGCAGTACATCAAAATGTTCAGGCATCATTCTTATATAATTGTAATACCAAATTAAGCCTCCAAGACGTATTTCTTGTACTAAAGTTCATCCTTCACCTCTGGTTTCTCGTGCAAGAATACATTTTCTAACCCATGTTCTTTTATATTTTTTATTTAGTCTAACATTCTGATGTTTACATATTATCAATAATAACTTCAGTAATTTTTTTTCTTTCGCAACAGTGTCAACATATTTATTTTGCTACCAACAAATACAACTCTTTCACTGTTATATTGACTTCTACTATAAAGCCAGCGGCACACGGTGCTTGTTTTTGTGCTGGATTGCTTGCTGGATGAAAATACTGCGTTCTGATTGATGCATTTCCATCCATCTTTGGAAATGCACCAATCAGAACGCAGTATTTTCATCCAGCAAGTAATCCAGCATGAAAACAAGCACCGTGTACCACTGGTTTTATATATGATCTGCTCTCTGTAGCTGCATGTTAAGCCAGCGGCACACAGCGCTTGTTTTTGTGGTGGATTGCTTGCTGGATAAAAATACTGAGTTTTGATTGGTGCATTTTCATCCATCTTCGGTAATGTACCAATCAGAACGCAATATTTTCATCCAGCAAGCAATCCAGCACGAAAACAAGCACCGTGTGTCGCTGGCTTAAAACTAGTGCACACTAGTGCAAAGACGTCGGACGTCGTACGTCGGACATCGGACGCAGTGTGAATCCTCCATAAGAATTGACGAATCACAGTCGATTATTACAAAAATAATCGGCTATAATTGGTCAGTTCTTAAGGTCATTCTACAATACGTGTCGTAAGTTGTAAGTCGTAAGAATTGGCGAATCACAGTCGATCATTACAAAAATAATCGGCTATAATTGGTCAGTCCTTACGGCTTACAACTTACGACACATATTGTAGAATGATCTTTATGTGCTATGACTTTTAAGCCAGCGGCACACGGTGCTTGTTTTCGTGCTGGATTGCTTGCTGGATGAAAATACTGCCTTCTGATTAGTGCATTTCCATCCATCTTCGGAAATGTACCAATCAGAACGCAGTACTTTCATTTAGCAAGTAATCCAGCATGAAAACAAGCACCGTGTGCCGCTGGCTTTATTCCTATATCCATACCTCATATATGAAAACAATAGAAGTTCTCAGTCTAGCTTATATATAGAAGTCTATGGCTAAAACGCGGATGTGGTCGTTTTCATGTTTCTGGAGGCGGTAATGTGTTTCGTATCTACTTCTTCAGAGGACGGGTCGAAAGGGAGGTCTCAAGAAATTCTTGTGGCATATATGTCTTTAAACTTTTCTGTTACATGTCAGCCGCTGGCACACATTGTTTTTACGTTTCTCTTTGGTTATATATAAATAAAATAACTGAATTGTGTATGTGTGTATGTGTATGTGTGTGTGTGTGTGTGGAGAGAGCTTGGCTCGAAAATAGATAAAAAAATAATTTCGGTTGTTCATCGCTGCTAATCGTTAACACAAAGGTTGTTAAAGGACTTTTTAAGATATTATGGACGACGAACTTGAAGATAGAGTTCTATATCAGGTGAAAAATGATACATAAAGATAATTTAAATCTTAAATATTTTTATAAGCTATTATTAAATTAAAATATATTTTAATGTATTTTTATCTGTTTAATTAAAGCTTAACCTAAAACTACAATTAAGCAATCTTATATAAATTACGATTGTTAACAATTTAAATAAAATAAGATGCGAACTTGTGTAAATTAAACAATAACTTTGATTCCAACTTATAAAGTTTATACTTTTATATTTTATGGCTTTTTAATCTTTGTATATAAAATAAATTGGGAAAACTGGAAAAAGGAAAATTATAAATAAAAGAGTAACTATACAAGAAATATATTTATATATGTATTATGTAGATTAATAATATGATAATTATATAAGTTATCTTGCTTTTATGCAATGAATATGACATTTGACAATTATATAGGTTATTTTATTTGTAATAACAGTTTATTTAGATAATTTGATGATGATATTTTTTAATAAAATGTTTAAAAAATTGATTATTTTTATATATATCATTTTTAATATTATATATCTTTGCAGTTGTCTCAAATTTTATTTACAAAACTTAAGTGAAATTAACTAAGAAATATAATTTCAATATCTAGTTATGTAAGATTTAATATATGAAATGTCCTTATATTGCAATTATTTATGATTTAGAAATTGTGTTTTGATATTACAGAAAAAATTTAAGCTTAAATTAATACAAGTATCTACTATTAAGGAATGATATAGAAATAGTACATTGTTTATATCAGATAAATAATTTAAAATAAGTTATTTGAATAATTTATTTTTTATGAGAAGAATGTTTCACAAAAATATTATTTGACTTTAAAAATAACAATTTGATGTTAATACTTTCTTTGAAGATGGAGCTAAAAAAATTCATGTAGAACTTAGATATTTTTATATTTTCTTACTTATCTCCTATTATATATTTCTTCTGATTTATTTTTTAATAGAATATTATAAGCTACGTACAATGATGTATAAATTAACATCATATATCAACTAGAAAGAACGATAGCCTATTTCAATGAATAGCTCAATTAGTTTGATATATATGGTAATATATGGTAATATATATACACAAACGCACATATACATATATATATATATATATTATTATTGTAAATTTTGGAAATGTAACCTTATGTATGATTAATGATAAGTATTATAATTTGTGTTTTACAATAATTTAATAGACATACATGTTGAATTTCATCACTTAGATTTGTCTTAGAACAAAAGTTCTTATATGATTTTTTATGTCTTTTCTGATTGTCAGTATTTTGCTGTATACTAATTTATTAATGTTTTAATTTATACTACAAATAAAAGTTAAAAGATTAAATATGTTGAATGTACTCATTTGTGATTGGATTGATTAATCCAACAATTTCTAAATTTTCTGTTAAGAAATTGTATCTGATACATGAAAATGACATCAAATAGAAATTTTAATATTAAAAGTAAATAAATTATTACATTCGCACATACACACATATATGCATAAAAATTATTTGTTTTTTATCTTATTCTAGACACCTTATTCTATACAGGGTGTCCCACTTTAATGTCCCACCCCAAATAACTCTTCAGTATTGAAGTTTCAAGGAAAATGATCGCAATAAAAGTTGTAGGAATTTAAGTGAGCTACCTTATGATGACTTTGACCTCTATTTTCAAGGTCATTGAAGGTCAACTTGCGTTTTTTAAGTGGGAACCCTAATTTTTTATTACATTGTTTTTTTTCTACTAGTTAATTTGAACAACTTTTGTCTAAAATATTTTTTTATTTGTCTAATATTTTTTGAGATATTTGAGAAAAACTTGATAACTTTTTCAATATTTAACTTACGATATCCCGCTAACTATTTGTCGAAAGAAAAAGTGATACTAGACTTTCTTGCTTTATTTAGTCCTAAGAATATATTGTTACAATAGCGCCTTGACTTTTGTTAACTTACTGATTTTTGGAGATATCAAAATCATCAAATTAACAAAAATCAGGGCGCTATTGTAACAATATATTCTTGAGACTAAATAAAGCAAGAAAGTCTAGTACTACTTTTACTTCCGACAAATAGTTAGCGAGATATCGTAAGTTAAATATTGAAAGGGTTATCAAGTTTTCCTCAAATATCTCAAAAAATATTAGACAAATCAAAAATTGTTTTAGACAAAAGTTGTTCAAATTAACTAGTAGAAAAAAACAATGTAGTAGAAGATAAAAGTTCCCGCTTAAAAAACGCAAGTTGACCTTCAAATGATCTTGAAAATAGAGGTCAAGATCAAAGTCAAGATTATCATAAGGTAGCTCACTTCCCTACAAATCCCTACAACTTTTATTCAGATCATTTTCCTTGAAACGTCAATACTGAAGAGTTATTTGGGGTGGGACATTAAAATAGGACACCCTACAGGGTGCACACGGTATTTGAGGACAAATTGACATTAAAACTAATTTGTTCATATTTTTTGCA